TCTTTACTTACCTAATTGTTAAAGACATAAACGTGTAGTGTGTGCATTAAAACAGCCAGTAGGAAATGTCTCAGTTAATATAATTTATGTTAAGTTCTAGTTTATATATAATTCTAATATAAAATCATATATTACGTTTAATAACCTACAGTCAATCTCTGTATTTAGTCTTTGTTATAGAATTCAAAATGTCACTTGATGATTAATTAACCTAATGCTAAAAGAGGGTTAGGTTAGGTTAAATTACGATAACATTATGATGCTTAACCATTAGGTGAAATAAGCGGGATCCTAACCATAATGGGACCCCTTTATACTGCATTACGCTTTATTAGCAGTCTGTGGGCGAAATATAAAGCACACACGTACACACACAAACAGACAGACACAGACACACACACACACACAATTAGAACATTCACCAACTGTCCTCAAGAATGTCAAGAAGCAGATAAACGCACAGACTCTTGAGGGGAATGTTTTGAGAATGTTCAAGACACTTTCAAAATACAAGACAAAATAAATCACTGTATTTCAATGTATTACCCAGGACAAATAAATCAGTATATTCTCGTATTCATCACACGAAGGAAAATAAATTCACTTACTGTATCCAAATAATTATCATACAGTCAGAATAAATCTTTAAATTATTTCACAAACTTCCATACAGAATTATTACAGAAATAATCTTACGCTGTAATTATCAATATTACCACAGAGCAATTAATCCACATACTGTATTGAGATTATTATTAATGTGTATTAATTAAATCCAAGTTGTGATGTAATTATTGTTATGGTAAATGTTATTCTTTAATGATATGCTAATTATCAGGTAAAGGTGATCAACTCTGTAGTCTGTCTTAACAACATTACTAATTAACTAAAGGAACGACACTTGGTGGTATTTGTGAGAGAGAGAGAGAGAGAGAGAGAGAGAGAGAAGAAGTAGAAGAAGTTAGAAAAAATAAGAAGAAAATGAAGAAAAAGAAGGAGAAGGATGAGGAAGAAGAGGAGTAGGAGGAGAAGGAAGAAGAATAGGAAGAGCAGGAGGGAGAAGAGAAAATATTAGCCAATAAGCCACAAGTTAAGTAAGACCATCTATCACTATTACCAACATAATTTACAGATCTGTTTCTCAGACAGTAACTTACCTTTATCTCCCTTAATTGGCACCTCAAGATCCAGGTACAGGTGGGCTGGGGTGGGCTGGGTCAAGGTGGTGGGCTGGGGTGGGGTGGGTCAAGGTGGAAGTGAACTGGAGGTGAGGGATGGTGGTGGATTTAAGTGGAGGTGGGCTGGGGTGGGTCAAGTTGGAGGTGGGTTGGAGGGGATATAGCGTGGGTTTAAGTGGGGGTGGGCTAGGGTGGGTTACCTCCCCAGGAACAATCAGCTGTGTTGGTGGTCAGGGTAAAGACGTGACCAGACTCCTCCACCTACCTCTCTCTCCCTCTCTCTCTCTCCACCACAACCTACCCTACTTCCTTCTCCACCACCTCCTCCAACACCACCAGAGAGAGAGCTAACACGAGCCATCTGTTCCACATTAAAAAAAATTATAAAATCATTAATTTTTTTAGGGGGTCTTAACTGGTTGTCATTGAGGCGATAATAACACAGAATCACACACGTTATTTATTTGACCAAAAAAACAAAATCCCAAAGAGTTTTTCTCGTTTCTAAACACATTTTTTTTTCCTTTTTCGTCTTGTTTAAGTGAGATTAACATCAAATCGCGTTTTCCGCCAATTTCCGCCTTTGTGTCTCCCCCCCGTCCAAAATTTTCGGTAGTGGGAGCTGCCAGGAGGGCGACCACACACACACACACACACACACACACACACACACACACACACACACACACACACACACACACACACACAGGTGTTCTCTGACCAGCACACCTGATTTACTGTTCTTATATATTTTATTTCCACTGTGGAGCTTCTTGTGTACGTGGCCACCGTGTGTGTGTGTTTGTTTGTATGGTCAGCCAAACGAAAAAAAAACCCCACACAAATCAGATAAAGACACAAACACTCAGAGACAAACAAAACATCCCTCTATTAAATTTTTTTCCCTTAAGTAGGTGAGAGATCCGCCATGATTGTCCCTCCCTACGTCACCGTCAGCAGAACCTGTGATTGGATAAGACCAAACCTACATCCACTAATCATATAACGAGGAAAATACACAATCCAAATTTCTGATTGGTTATCCTCCCTAGCGATTCTTCCTACCAACCACTGATCGGATTTGGCCATGCTAATCAGGTAAAGTCTAGTCTATTTGTCTGTCTTCAAGGAATAAATATTTATACCCCTCCGTTGTCCCTTGATGATGATATAATTTTAATCTACGTTGACTCTGCATCTTATACGGGGTTATATTTATTAGTTCTTATATCTGCCTACTATAAAACCACTAGACTTTATTGGTATATTAGTTTTATCCCTATTATAACATCACGGGGATATTATTTGGTATCTTTTAATATAATATCAAGGGGTTATATTTTTAGCACTGTTTCTGCCTAATATAAGATAGTTTCTTTCTTCCCTCCTCCACCACTCGCCACAGCTCCCTCCTTCGCTCACCACACACTCGCCACAGCTCCCTCCTTCACTCACCACAACTCCCTCCTTCCCTCCATCACTGACCACAGCTCCCTCCTTCCCTCCATCACTGACCACAGCTTCCCTCCTTCCCTCCATCACTCACCACAACTCCCTCCTTCCCTCCATCACTCACCACAACTCCCTCCTTCCCTCACCACAGCTCCCTCCTTCCCTCTCATCACTACCACAATCCCCTCTCTCTTCCTCCATCACTAGCCTCCATCACCACCACAGCTTCCTCCTTCCTCCACCACTCAATGCCACAGCTCCCTCCTTCTCTCATCATTCTGCCACTCACAACCTCCTTCCCTCTCCTCATCACTACAACTCCCTCCTTCCTCAGCCTCTTCATCACTCAATTACAACTCTCCTCTCCATCACTACAACTCTCCTTCCTCCATTCACTCACCACAGTTCTCCTCCTTCCTCCATCACTCACCACAGCTCCTCCTTCCCTCCATCACGCTCACAGATTCCTCCTCCTTCCTCCACCACCACAGCTCCCTCCTTCCCTCCATCACTACCACAGCCTCTCCTTCCTCCCATCACTGCCACAGCTCCTCCACCACCACCATGCCCTCCTTCCTCCACCACCTGCCACAGCTCCCCTTCACCACCACCTACAGCCTCCTTCCTCCATCACTCACCAGCCTCCTCCTTCATCACTCAGCCCTTCCTTCCTCCATCACCACAGCTCCCTCCTTCCCTCCATCACTCACCAGCAGCTTCCTCCTTCCCCACTGCCAGCCTCCTTCCTCCACTTCACCATAGCTCCTCCTCCTCCATCACTCACCACAGCCCTCCTTCCTATCACCACCACAGTTCTTCCTTCTTCCTCCATCACTCACCACAGCTCCCTCCTTCCTCCATCACTCACCACAGCCCCTCCTTCCTCCACCCACATTCACTCACAACCCCTCCTTCCTCCATCACTCAATTACAGCTCCCTCCTTCCCCATCACCTCACCACAACTCCCTCCTTCCCTCCACCACTCACCACAACTCCCTCCACTACTAACCTCACCTTCATCTACACTTCATACATTTTAAATACCTTCCTCAACCTCTTCCATCAAGTCCATCACACGTTTTTACCAACTCTGTGTGTGTGTGTGTGTGTGTGTGTGTGTGTGTGTGTACTGTAACGAAAGTCTAATTATCATTTAAGCTTCCCGTACAATGTAAACTTACTAAGGATCTCTCTCTCACTCTCTCTCTCTCTCTCTCTCTTCCTAAACGTAAAAATATTGTCTTTTATCTCTTTGTCACTCTGGATAGACCTTCTGAATCACCTGCTGTCAGTAAGTAGTGTCTGTGAATTGAGAGAGAGAGAGTCAACACTTGGTATCTCCTGTCGTGTTTACTCTCTTCTTCCCACTCATCCGCCTCCTCTCCTCTCCCTCCTCTTTCCTTCCTCTTTCACCCCTTTAAACACTTCTTTTCTTCTTCCTCCTCTTCCTTGGACACTTTTTCTTCTTCTTCCTTTCCAATAAACTTTCTCTCCTCCTCCTTCTTCACTCCATCATTTCCCCCCTCCATTCCTTCTCTTCTTTAGTCTCCTCCACTCTTTCATCTCCCTCTCCCTCCCCTCACACCTCTTTTCCCTCTCGCCCTTCCTCTCCTCCTCTACTTCCTTCCTCTACCTCTTCCTTCCTCTTCTTCTCCCTCCTCCTTCTCTCACTTCAAAGGCTTGACAAGGTACAAATTTCGCTTCAGTGAGTGTGTGTGATAAGGGTTACATTTGCGTGTTTAACAGTCAATTCCCCCAGTCTGGCCCTTAACAGTCACCTCTCAGTCCTTAACAGTCACCACCCCCCCCCCACTCTAGTGCAGCTTTATGGGAGGGAGGTGGGTGGTGAATGACAGTCGTTACAATGAGGTAATTAAACTGTCCTAATGACTCAACTAACATCATTATCTGTCTACATACATACATAGGTTAAACTTAATTAATCCATGTAAGTAATAATCCATGTAAGTAATATTAAGAAAACATTGAGATATTTCACTAACTTATACTTCAATATCCAGTAAAGTAATGATCTAGTTCTACACGTCACGTTACACAAGCGTCTACAGATACACCCGGGCTGGGGATATTAACACTCGCTGGGTAAAGACACACTGTAGCGAGGTTTACTAACTATATATTTTTGGTTATAATTTAATGTCACTAGGATAAAAAAAAATAGGATAAAAAAAAATATTAGACGAAAAAATAGCAAAGAACGAGAAATATTTGTAACACTAAACAGAAGAACATATTATTACCATTACATTATTTCCTCGTTATGAAGGTGTTTATAGATATGTACTGTACAAAGGAAACGCCACAGATAACGTTAGGTGAGTAAGATTCTTAAATATTTTGTTTCTTGCTGTAGAACGCAGCCATGTTGACTCTCGCTACAGTGAACGCGGCCATGTTGACTCTCGCTACAGTGAACGCAGCCATGTTGACTCGCTACAGTGAACGCGGCCATGTTGACTCTCGCTACAGTGAACGCAGCCATGTTGACTCGCTACAGTGAACGCGGCCATGTTGACTCTCGCTACAGGTGAACGCGGCCATGTTGACTCTCGCTACAGTGAACGCGGCCATGTTGACTCTCGCTACAGTGAACGCGGCCATGTTGACTCTCGCTACAGTGAACGCGGCCATGTTGACTCTCGCTACAGTGAACGCGGCCATGTTGACTCTCGCTACAGTGAACGCCGCCGTGTTAACCTCACTACAACGAACACAACCATATTAACCCCCGCTACAATGAACACGACCATATTAACCCTCGCTACAATGAACACCAGCCATATTAACCCTCGGTACAATGAACACAGCTCTCATACCCCTGACAAGAGTTCCAGGGTGTTTAACATAGCAGGTGGGATTTGTTACTGTCACGTACACTTGGCACCTTCAACAGCATCCACCCGTAACGAAAGGAAAAACAAAACACAAAGTAATCCAACTAAAAGCGACTAAACGCACGTCATTAAACACAGAGAAGGGAGGAGTGTTTCACCTCTCCTCGTTCGTCGATTTCTAACCCGGATTCACAAATATTCGTTCGTTCGTCGATTTCTAACCCGGATTCACAAATACTCGTTCGTTCGTCGATTTCCAACCCGGATTCACAAATACTCGTCTTTTTTTTTTCTCTCTTGTGGATGTGGTTTTAAGGACCTCGTAAGGATCTTTTTTTTTCGTTTGGTTTGGTTGGGTTAGTTAGGTGTTTAGGTTAGGTTAGGTTTGTTAGGTTGTTGTTAGGTTAGTAGGTTAGGTTAGGTTGGGTTTGGTTAGGTTAGGTTAGGTTAGGTTAGGTTAGGTTTGGTTAGGTTAGGGATGGGAAATTAAGGAGACACACATAGACTCAAAGACAAGAATTCATTGGTTGTTTACATGATGTCATATTCAACACTTACCCCTTTACTGACGTCGAGAGAGAATAACATTAACACGCTCTCCCTCATCATCTCAAGGGCAGGGCATCAACTAATCCTCGTAATTTTCTCTGTCTGTCTCTATCTCTACCTGTCTGTCTGTTTCTCTCTCTCTCTGTCTACTATGTGTCTCTATATGTCTTCCTGTCTCTATCTTTCTCTCTCTCTATATATCCGTCTGTCTTATATATATCTCTCTCTTTATCTGTATCTCTACCTGCTGTATACCTCTCTCTCTCTCTCTCTCTCTTAACCTGCCCCCACACACACACAGGACTACAGTAGAGTCTTTAGTATCCAAGCACTCAAGAGAGATTACCTCCTTCACCTCTATAACCGGCAGGTGTGAGGTATAGGGAAGCTGTATAACAACACCTGCAGCTGAAGTGAATGTCCAGGTAGGTGGGTGTCTGTGGTGTGTGTGTGTGTGTGTGTGTGTGTGTGTGTGTGTGTGTGTGTGTGTGTGTGTGTATGTGTATTTACGTGTGTATAATATATAAATCACTCTTTCTGACACAAATTCACCCCGCAGGACGTGGGAGGGTGGAGGTGAGGTGAGGAGGAGGGTGAGGAGGAGGGTGAGGAAAGGAAAGAGGTCATTCATCACTCATTAATTACAATAATTACTGAGATAATGCTAAGAAATGCTGGGATTTTTTTTGATACTTCCCTTCATTCCTTCCTTCCTTCCTCTCTTCCTTCCTTCCTTCCTTCCTTCCTCTCTTTCTCTACCCCTCACTACTCTCCGTTTAATAGAAAAGAAAAAAAACACAAAAAGTCAAGATTTTTCCTCTCTTTTATGCTCGACTTTTTTACTAACAAAAAAAAAAATCGTCAAAAGCCAAATATTTTTAATTTATTTTTTCCACCGGAGAAAAATTTATAATTGAAAAAAAAGAAAAAAATTAGGAAAACAAAAACAAAATCGTAATATATTTTTTGTTAAACGACGGAGCGACATTTATATACTGACAAAAAGGCAAGTGTTGTGAGAAAAAAATTTATTAACTAAGGAGAAAAATACACAAACAGGTTTTTACAATAGTCACGTAGTGGAGGAGAGAGAGAGAGAGAGAGAGAGAGAGAGACAACAACAACCTTTATCTAATCTATCTCTCTATTCCATTATTTATCATGACATTATTCCCATTTCTTCTTCATCTCTCTCTCTCTCTCTCTCTCTCTCTCTCTCTTTCTCTATATTCATTCTTGATTCTCTCACTTTCTTAATGGGGTTTACATAAGTTTTTTGTTTTCAATTCTTTTTTTTTTCTTTCTTTTCACCTCATTAAAGATTCTCTAAGACATGAAGTTTCAGTGGTGGGGGGGGGGGGAGGGGGGAGGGGGAGGGGAGGGGGGGGAGAGGGAGGGGGGGGGAGAGGTGTCTTTTAACCTAATTTTAATTCCTTTTTTCTTCTTTTATGATTTTTCGTGTTTTTCCACCAAGCTCATCACATTCACCTAACCACTCATCACCCTCACTTCACCACTCATCTCACCACTCATCACCCTCATCACACCACTCACCTCACCACTCACCTCACCACTCATAACACCACTACCTGTCCCTTCACTCATTCATCAAGTAATATACCTGTACGTCACTGATGTTTTGATGTGAGAATTAATTTTTTATTATTATACTTTTTTTTAATTCCACGGCTTCACTGGAAACAAGAAATGCTTTTAATTTATGTCACGGGGGATTAATCAGTGGAAAAAAAAATATCCCCGTTTTTTTATCTCAATCCGGATTCATAAATAGTTTTCGAGCGCAAATCCGGATTTGTTTATTTAACTTTAAGAGGAAGATGAAGGGAATGAGATTTTGTTATTAGTTTTATTTATGAAGGGAGTTTATGATTGTGTGGAAGGTGATAGTGGTGGATGAAGAGGTGGTAGTGGTGTTTGTGGAAGAGGAAGAGGTGGTGGAGGAGGAGGTAGCGGAGGAGAAGGAGGCAAAAGAGGAGGAAGTAGATGAAGACAAAATGAGGAAGAATGACAACAAGAAAGAAGAAGACAGAACAACAACAAGAACATGAACAACAAAGAAAACCATGAAAAGTTTGAACAATAACTTTTCCAATATAAACCCAAAGATAGCCGTAACTGATACCACACAAAGATGGCCGCCATATAACACACAAAGATGGCCGCCACTGATACCACACAAAGATGGCCGCCACTGATACCACACAAAGATGGCCGCCACTGATACCACACAAAGATGGCCGCCACTGATACCACACAAACCACTCAAGACAAAAAAATTACCTTCAACATTATCCCATTTTTTTATCACTTTAATATTTACTCTCCGTTAACGTGGTGGTGGACATGAGAGAGCAATAATGTGTTAGTGATATCATAAAAAAAAAACTTGACTATGAATCAGTAATTTTAGTCTTGATGAGAAATATCTGATGCATGGATTCGGTTTGGTTAGGTTAGGTTTTTATTTTTATCGTATATTAAGTCTTTTTTTTCGTTTTATGGGGATGAAAAACAATGATAATGTATAACTGAAAAAATAGAAATATTTATTAATAATTTTGAATCATAGTAAATATATATTATAAAATATACCCAGTTCTTGTTATACTAAAATATTTCTACTTTTTGTTTTACTTTTGAGAAATTAGCATATTTTCCCATTATAAAATTTACATACTCTACTGGCACATTTCCATCACCTCTTTTGGATGTCATAATATATCAGCTCAGAGTTATGTACTGTATTTATTTTTACTAAAAGATTGACTATTTTTTATTCAGTATTTTGATCAGTTTATATTCTTTAGATGTTAGATTCAGTAAGATTAATAGTTGTGTGTGTGTGTGTGTGTGTGTGTGTGTGTGTGTGTGTGTGTGTGATGTGTGCGTGTGCGTGTGGGTGTGTGTGTGTGTGTGTGCGTGTAGGTGAATAATACACTCCTGATGATGTCCAGTACGACATTATAATAGCATCGTGGCACTTCTGCAACTCTCCTGCCAGCCGTATGATAGAAGTATGTTGCCAGCAGCGAAGGTGATTTTAACATTTTAGTTTTTGACTGTCGAGTTGAATTTACATTCACACACACACACACACGGACTGAAACCTCTAGTTCTTTTTTACATATAGGATGTTCAAAATATTCAACTCCTCCTTCAGAACTTGTGAGCCTGAGAGAGAGAGAGAGAGAGAGAGAGAGAGAGAGAGAGAGAGAGAGTTACTGCTCCCTGGTGGTAGAGAGACGCAACACACAATCATTTATACCATAACCATTTATATACGGTATCCCTCATGTTTACAAATACCTAACAATAACGCATATATAAATAACTCAAATATAACTTTAATAATAATCCAAAGTATAAAAATAATGAAGACTTTTATAACTTTATTACTTTTAAAATATGAATGAAAATATGATTAATTTTTTATGGTATTACAAATTACTAAGTTATTTACCTATATCATGTCTTTCCATCGAATGTGGGGAAGGGTTAGGTTAGGTTAGGTTAGGTTGGGTTGGGTTGGGTTAGGTTAGGTTGGGTTAGGTTAGGTTAGGTTATAATATAACTTAACCTAACCATTATGTTGCCTTGTGTAAGTAGTAGACCTTACCTGCTTGTACTACCATGAACCACCAAAAAACCCACACCAAACCACAAAACCCCACCAAACCAAAAAAACCCACACCAAAAAAAACCACACCAAACCACCAAAAAAACCCACACCAACCACCAAAAAACCCACCAAACCCCAAAAAAACCCACACCAAACACCAAAAAACCAACAAACCCCAAAAACCCACCAAACCACCAAAAAAACCCACACCAACCACCAAAAAACCCACACCAAACCAAAAACAACCAAACCACCAAAAAATGACCTGCTTGTACTACCATGAACCTACAGTGGAATCCGGGAGTCATTGATGCTTAGGGAACACACTGTATTTTGTGAGGTCCTTGGGGATGAGGGTGGGGAGGGGTGGATGAGGGGGGTGGATGGGGGGGTGGATGAGGGGGGGATAGGGGGTGGATGTGGAGGAAGGGAGATGGGGAGATGGGTGATTGAGGGTGAAGGTGAGATGGGGGGTGGGTAAGGAGGGGTAGATAGGGTGCTTGTGAGGAGGGGGGAGGAGAGAGGAGGGGAAGGGGTGATGGAGAAGGAGGTAGGTAAGGGAAGAAGAAGAAGAAGAAGAACTAACAGACAGAGTTATAATGAGTAGGATAATGTTATGATCACACACACACACACACACACACACACACACACACACACACACACACACACACACACCCCACCCACCACCCACCCACAACACACACACACACACACACACACACACACACACACACACACACACACACACACACACACACCCAAAAGCAATATCGTGTTAATTTTAAGCTTGAGACATGATCCTCTTTTGC